CCTGTGTTCCTACTGCATTTTTCTCTTATCGATAGTGGAAACTCGTCATATATTAGGGAAATCACCTTTTGTCTGTAGTAAGAGCTGGAAACATTTCCCGTTTGTCGTCTGCCTTGCTTTTGAAGTTTTTTTTTTTTTTTGCCATACCTTATTTATTTTTTTACATTGTTAAATGTATCACTTTTTCTAAATCACTTTTTTGATTTACATTATACTTGGACAAACATCTTTCACTCTAAGATTATTTTTTTTAAACCTCCCATATTTCTCAGGGTACTTTTATGGTTTTATTCATTTACTTTTACATTTAAATTTCATTTGGAATTAGTCCTGATGTAAGATGTTAGCATGATTTCAATTTTATTTTATTTTTTTCCCCAGTTGGCTGTTGTTTCAACATCACTTATGAAGTAATCTGTTTTTCCCCACATGATTTAGGATAGCACCCTTATATACTATATTTTCGTATATTTGGGGTCAATTTCTTGACTTTCCATTCCATTATAATCTGTTGACATTTGCTACCAGTATATGCTTTAATCATTAGTTTTAATATATTTTAATATCTAAAGGGCTAATTCCTCCCTACTGTGAGACACATTTTTAAAGTGAGACCTTTAATTTTTTTTTAAACTTCAGCTTTATTGAGGCATAGTCAACATAGAAAATTGTAGGATATTTAAAGTGTACATTGTAGTGATTATATATATGATTATATATATATGATTATATATATATACACACACACATAAAATGTAAGGATTTCCTCCATCTAGTTAATTGACATTCATCACCATATGTGTGTGTGTGTGTGTGTATTTATATATATATTTATAGATATACATATATGTCTGTGTATAGACATATTTTTTTTTTTGGTGAGAACATTTAGGTTCTACTTTCTTAGCAGATTTCAATTATATGATACAGTGTTATCAACTATCATCACCATTACATTCGATCTTCAGTCATACATTAGATCCTGAGACATGACTCATCTTCCGGTTGAATGTTTGTACCCTTTTACCAACCTGCCCCTGTTTCTCCCACCCTCAAACCTCTGGCAACCACTTTTCTACTGTTTCTACAAGTCTGGCTTTTTTTTTTTTTTTTTTTAAAGAGTCCGCATATAAGTGATGCCATGTAGTATTTGTCTTCTTTCTGCTATCATAATTTGTTTTCCAAGTATATTTATATAATAACTTCCATAATATGTATTCATATAACTTCTTTTTTATCCTATTTCAGAAAGTTGTTAAATTGCAAAATAATGGGATAGGAGCTCAACTGAGATGGTTGGGGGAGGTAGGTTTCCCAGAATGATCATTTAATGTGCTTTGCTTGACACGTGAAATCTGATGAAAGAGAACATCTTTTGACAAAGATTCTGGTGAGGCAGATGCCCACTGTTAACTTGGACCCTATAGGGAGGGGAGCTGTATTGGAGTGTCCTTAAAACCACGGAGCGCACATAAGTTGAAGTTAATGGAGGATACACTGATGACTTCAAAGGTCCTGTGGTTTTTATAGTCTGGATTAACTGTAGTTCCTTAATATATTTAAGAAATAGAACCTTCAGAGGTTAAACCAGTGAGGGAAAGCACACAGTTTTCCTTTTTTCCTGGGCTGGCCCTAGTTTTATGAAAATGAATTTCTAAGCATCTTTTCTATGGATTGGGGCTTCTTGGCAAAAAGGGAAATCTGTGTAATGCATTACTTCTGAGCTTTTTCTTAAAGGATTCAAGGATAGACATATGGATAATGGATTAAAAATATAAATCTGGTCTTTCCAGTCATAGAAATCTTCCGATCCAAGAGGTGCTTTTCCCAGTTTCCAAAAAATGTAGGGCTGTATACTCATACTCATAAAGGACCAAGACAAAATACATGATATCTGACACTAAAAAAAAAAAAAAAGAAAGAAAAAGAACAAGAAACAAAATCCAACCCACTGTACTTTTCTTATTTCAGCCCTGTGATCAGACAGAGTGACTTGTAGTCAAATCTAGATGCCAACATGCAGTGCCACCTTCCAGCCACCAAGCCTGTAACTAAGCACTTTTGTTCGGTAAAATTACAGAAGGGATGCTGTTCCATAAGATATTTTGTTCTATTTTTGTACCTACAGTTCATCTAGGAAAATGGCTGTCACTTGGTTTTCTCACATACTTATCCCACATTCGTCTGTCTGTGTGTACGTGTGTGCTTAGGGGAAGTGCAGACTTACGATGTTGTTGTAGAAACAATGATACACAATGATGCGCCCCCCACCCCAGTGTAGACTTGTTCTGCTTTCCAGCAATCTGTTTGAGACAACACTGGGGGGTTTGACACCTTCTGGTTTACATACACATATAGGTGGCAATTTAGAATTTATGGAGGCTCTGTTAGGAAAAGTCACTGCCAATATAGGATTAGTTTGGAAAGAGTTCCATCTAAACTGATCTGCAGCCTTCTTTTACCAAGCGTGCAAACATGTATGAATTTAATCTTAACTGAGATACGCCTCACACAGCAATGTAAGGATTGCACAAAGATAATCTGCATAGTCAAAATTTTCACAAATGCTCTAATTAATAGAGTGATAGGTGTCATTCATGGTGATAACTACATTTTTATGAAGTGGAGAATTGTGGAATACTTGCTAAATCTTTCTTGGTAAAATGTAAGTCCTTCAAAGCCAAAGACTATTTTTGCTCATCTTTATATTCCCAGCACAGTGTCTGGTGCAGAATAGACACTTAATGCTCATTGAATGAACAAGTGGGCGAATGAAACTCTTTCCTTAGCAAGATTATTTGAAATGAAGAGATTAAAATGTTTCCTGGAAATAGAAAAAGCGCATGCAGGCCCATGCTTACTGCTCTACTTTGATTGAGAAGGAAATTGATTTTTCCCCTGTATTTTTAGAAACCCAGTCACTTAAGAATTACCCTCTTCGTTAAAAAAAAATTTTTACACGCATTGTTAATGCCATGTTAGTTTTGATGTGATTTCTAATGAGCAGTCTCTCCAGTCAAAGAAAAAAACCAAGATCCTTTTTAGCTTCCCTGACAACCGTTGTCCAGTAGATCATGGAAAGATACACAAACCCTTCTCCCCCACGTGCACAGGTACATGTGTTGGGGGTGGTGGGGTGGAGAATGATTCAGGGCCAGAGAGTCACTTAGTTTACATTAATTAAAACAGGAGCAGAGACAACTTTCATTCGAGAATATTATTTTTCATTTATTGGCTTTTTTGCCGTACTGGTAATTTTGCCTAAATTACCTGTCACAGAAGGCACATAGATGATGCTTATCTGTGATCCTAATCATAAATGGAGTTTATATTTATTCAGGAGGCTGTGAAATTCCGTTTGCCTTGTTAGTGCTATAACTAGGAATTCGCTCTTTAAATTAATCTTGCATACCAGTAGTCTTGTTGAATATATTTCCCGATACGAGAATCAGAGAAATTTGTTTGGCTTTTGGCCTTAGTACCTTGTGTATAGCAGTGCATTTTGAGCTCGTTAATCAGTACCTGAGTAGCCCTTCTCCTCCAGCGATCTTTAATCAATAGGCAAAAGTGGTTTGGAGATTTTTACTGAACGGATGGATATGGAATCTCTAGTGGACTTGCCCTAGAGATTCCCCTCCATTTTTAATCCCTTTGTGGAGAGTAGGGATAAATGGTAGAACAGAACATTTTAGAGTATTTGGCTGAAATAACAGGAGAGATTGAACGCAGGAGAACTTAGGAACCAATTAGAGAATGCCACCAGGGCTGATACTGCATTTCAGATGCACCAGTCAACACAGAACGTGTTTGGGGCGCCTGGGTGGCTCAGTCCATTAAGCGTCTGCCTTCAGCTCAGGTCATGATCCCAGGGTCCTGGGATCGAGCCCCGCATCGGGCTCCCTGCTCAGCAGCGAGGGGTCTGCTTCTCCCTCTGCCTCTGCCTGCCGCTCCCCCTGCTTGTGCTCTCTCTCTCTCCTGACGATAAATAAAATCTTAAAAAAAAAAAAAATAGAGCATGCTTAGTTTTATGTTGCCATAATGATGACCTGTTTTTTAAAAAATGCCCCGCATGTGTAGCCCTAACATTTAGGTTACAATTCGGTATTAAACTCAGAAGTTCTCAGTTGCTTTGTTTAAGCCAAATTGGTGGCTAAATATTCAGACTTTCTTTCTCAAGGGTGGTAGGTTTGAATTTGAGCTGGCATGGAGCCTTTGGCTCAGGCGATTGAGTGATTTCTCCAATTTTGTGCCAGAGACAGGTCTAGGGCTTTTTCTGATTCCCCAAATATTGCTGTTTCTACCACACTGTGTGGTAGGAAGCCATTTCTTTAAAAAAAAAAAAAAAAAAAAAGTGATCCTAGAGCATTCGACCCCAGGATAATTTTAAAATTTGCTGTGTAAGCCCAGAGCATTAAAAAAAAGAAAAAAATGTGATGTGTAGTATAAGGCAAGGGTCATAAACTGTGGCCCGTGGGCCATATCCAGGCTGCTACTGGTTTCTCTACATGAAGTTTTACTGGGACACAGTCCCACCCAGTCATTTATGTACGTCTGTGGGGGATGACGTCAGGGGGAGGAGTTGCGGCAGAGATCCTGTGACCTGCAAAGCCTAAAATATTTATGACCTGGACCATTATAGGAAAACTATACTGACCCTTGATAGAAGGTAAGGATGAAAAAAATGAGTATAAAAATTAACACGATCAATTTGCAATAAATTGTGAGTAAAATAGGCTTTCCAAAGAAGCTAAAAAGTTAGCACGTTGTTGAGAGATGGGGATGACCTGTCCATTAAAGACTAGAATGCCAACCTGCGTTGAAAATAAGGGAGAATTAGGTTTCCGGAGACTCGGAGCCCCTGACTCGGCGTTGAGTTGCCGGCATGAAGTCTGTGACTTGAACAACGTTGGCTCAGGACGGGACCTGCCTCTGACCGTCATTTATGTTGTGCTAACCCTGGTAGAACTTGAACACTCATCAGATGTCCTTCTTCTTGGCAGGTGGAGTGGATCCAACAGCAAGTGGTAAAAAAACGGACAAAGAGGGATTATGACTTCAGTCGTGCCCAGCCGACTTACTTCAACGATCCCAAGTGGCCAAGCATGTGGTATATGGTGAGGAGGCCTGGCTTGGGGCGGTGTTGTACAGGGGACGTCTTTGGGGCCTGGGAGGACACAGAAGCCGTGAGCAGGGACCCACCATGCCTGATGGCCTATGCTGTTTTCTGGTTCTTTCTGGAACTTAGTTCTTTGGTTCTAAGGAGAAACAAAAGGGATTTGGGACTTAGAGAATTTCTGTTTGAGAGCTTACTCTGTGAGGCTTTCTAAATCTGAGCCAGAGGATAGAAAAATACACCGAGGCGCAGACAGACACCCTTAGACCTATCAATAATCCTGTTACTCTCTGATACCCATTTCCTCCGCCTTGAAACCAGTCTGGGTAGTGGATACTGGCTCTTGGAAATTACTACAATGAACCTGCCGGTAAGTAACAGATTCCTGACTTTCATCATCTAATAGGCGCCTGCTCACCTGAGGTAATAGTTTTAAAAAAACTAGGGAAAATAGTTTTTTAAACTAAGGACGAAAGTAGTTGGAAAGTGAGTGTTCAGTGGTTCAAGCAAAAAACTTGCAGTGAGGGGATTTAAGTGTGGGGAAGAGTTTTCCACCTGTCCACTTGATGTTGCCTCCTTTGAAAATCTGTTTGTCTAGTCTGAGGGTTTTATGATCCTGGAGAACGATGTTACTTATTCTTCTTCATGAAATCTCCATGTCTCCAGTTTGCTCTGTAATCTACAAAGATACTTTTATCTTTTTTGGAAGCCTTTATTGCTCATTATTGCCAGGGGATTTTTCCCCTAATCTATTTTATTTTTTGCAACCCTGTCTCTGCTTCCCTGCAAATCCATAGCATTGTGTAAACCTTTCTTAAGCTTTCCTGCCTTCATCCCTTTTATTCCTTCCGCCTGGGGCGGGGGGGGGGGGGGAGGCAGGGGGGGCTCTTCTCCTGCCCTTCCCCACCACCCTTAGGGGGCCCTCGCCCATTCTTCAGGATCCACGCCTGAGGCCGGCTGCTTCAAGTCTCCCTTGTCCTCACCTATCAGCTCTTTCCTTCCTCTGCTGTCCACGGCCCTGTGTCTCTGCTACACATGGCATCCTTCCCTTGGCTCTTTGTTTCTAGAGCTGTCAATATTTTAATCATACTCCTGTTACACGGGCAAGGTGTGGGGTCTCACATATCCCCCGGAGAATCTGACCTAGCACCTCACAATGCCAGAAATTTGTGCTTATTTTGAGATGGGTGAAAGTGGCCGGCTTCTCCCCCGGTTTCCCTTTTCTCAGTCTTACCCAGAAGTGGAAGGTTGTGGAAACATTTTGGACCCAGAGAGAATTTTACATAGAAAACTCTTTAAGGCGTAACAAAAAAGAGAGAGGGAGAGAGGGAGAGCGGCTGTAAAGCTAAGTTTAAGGGGATGTGGGACTCTAAATAGCCTTTGAGTAGAAATCACCTGAGGGGCGGTAAGACACTTGACAGTTCGTTAGCTCCAAGACCAAGGAAGGGTGTACCGCATGGGAAGGCATTAGAATGAGTGTTGGCAGGACCCAAGGAGCTTTGTCCAGGCTGACAAAATGGTAAGAGTGTGTAATGGGATTAAGAGGTAGGATGCAAGCGAAGTCGCTCTCCACCTGTATTCCTCCTTGCCTTACATTTCTTCTTGCAAGAAAGAGCCTGACTGCTGTTTGCACCTGTCCCACTGGATGGTGGTCGTGTAGGGCAGCTTTTCCTGACCCTCTCATCACTCCAGGAGGGCGGCCTGGGATCTGGTAGGCACTGTGGCCAAGACATTAGCATGCTGGCCGGCCTGTAGAGCAAGATCTCTACTCCCAAGAGCCCTTGCTGTTTCTTTGGAAATTTCCTTTCAGTATGGGAAAAGGTTGAGGGAGGAGATTTTACTTGGGCAGTTAAAATGTTGGGTGTTTTTCAACACCTATTTGATAACTCAAAGAGGTCACATTTTTACGGAGCACTTCCTGTGTGCCAGGCAAATGTGCTCAATACTTTGAGTATGTTTGCAATGTAGTGTGAACAAAAGTGTGCATATGAATATTGGTTGTTTTCAGAGTGAGGAAATGGTAGCTCCTGAAATTTAGACAACTTGCCTAAAATCACCCAGCCTGAAAGTGGTAGAGCAGAGCTGCCAACGCTTTACGCAGGTTAATGGTGTCTGTGGGACTGACCTGGCATCCTTTCCCCACCCTTCTGCTATTTACGAGCACTGTCAGAAGAAGACCCTCTAGTCCAACCCTCCAGGAACTTCTCTCCATGGAGAAATGGCTAAAATTCAAGGCAGAATGGTGTGGGTGCCATGGTGGATGAACAAGTTCTCTTGGAAGAACTAAAGTGTTTCAGAGCTTCCTATTCAGTAGTTGATTTTCCCTTAACCAAAGGGATGGGAAATCGGTTATGCACCTTAAGTTTATCTGTCAGGAGTGAGAGAACAGAATGAGAGCTAGGACTTCAAATCTGCCAACCTTTATGCAAATCCCCATTGCTTCACTTACTGTGCCCATGAGTGGATCACTGTAACTTGCCTCAACTGTAAACTAATTGTATCTGGTTCTTATGTATTGGTTAGCTATTGCTGTGTAACAAATCACAGAACTTAGTTTTTAAAACCATTACTTCATGGGCTCTGTGGGTCAGGCCATTCAGACAGGGCCCAGCAAGGATGGCTTCTCTTTCTGTGGTGTCTGGGGCTTAAGCTGGATGACTCAAAGGCTTGGCTGCAGCTGGAGGATTCACTTGCAAGTGGCCTGGTTACTGGCCTCACCACAGGGCAGCCTGACTGTTCTCTTGAGATGGCGCTGGCTTCCGCCAGGGCAAGTGATCCTATCACCTAAGCTCAGAAGTCACAGACCGTTTCTTCTGGAATTTTCTATCGGTCGCATGTGCCAGCTTGGATTCAGCATGTGAGGGGACTGTATGGAGAGGGTGAGGAATGTTTGGGAAGCTGGTCACCACAATTAAATGAAGTACTACCTGAACAGCCTTTAGCACAGTGCCTTTTCTGACACTGGAAAACCATCAGTAAATCTTAACTTACTACTCTCTGACCCTTTTACTGCGGTACATGCTGTTCCCTCCGTCTGTTGTTTGAACCGCTGCTGGTCAAGGAAGAGGGGGATCATATGTCCAGTGGGAACACTTCAGAGCATTCTGGTGGCACATCAGTGACCCAGCTGGGGCAAGGTGCTGATTTTCTTCTTCCTTTCTCTGAGCCCCGGGCCTTGCTGCCATGTTTCTGAGGGCTGCTTGGCGAGTCTCCATAGGGTCCTGCCTTCAACTCATTAGCCTGGGCCCGGGCCTGTCATTCTATATTTATCACAGGAGAGTGGAGATTAAAGAATGGCATGGAGTGTGCCTGAGTGTCTCTTTTAATTAATTTAAAAGCTTTGCCCCTGTTGCTCCTCCCCTTGGAAACTGGTGTGTGAAACCATTATGTCTGGCCTTGGGGCTTGGGCAATTTATCCAGGGAAATGTACATCTGCATCTACAGGAGTTGGTTAGGGAGGAGACGGTGGCCATAAAATTACTCCTCTGTCCTGAAACACTGTGCTCAGGCTTCCCAGAGTCGGGAGGGCCCAATCCTAAAAACAGCACTCATTCTTCTTGCATCAACAGACTTCCTTCCGTAGGAACTCTTTGTCTGGCAAAGGGGGCAGGCACTGAGGATTGAGGAAAACATGATTTGTGCTTCCTAAGATCAGTAAAGCCGGGGAGGAATATGTAAGCACAAACGAAAGCGTGCTGGGCAAAGGGCTCCTTCCAGAACTCTCTCTGGGATCATGTACATACATCCAGACTCTTCTTCTTGGGCTTTGGGCTCTGTAATTCTTGCTTGCAGGTCTGCTGCTTCCGTTGGAAGAAACTAAAAGCTCCTGAGTAGCTTTTTAAAACCTATCCAAGCTTGGGGTCCCCCCATCAGAGATTCCTGAGGTTTCTGGGAGTATGGCACTGGCGGTGGGATTTCATCGGCACTAACTCAGGACTGAATGCTGTGTGACTCAGTGCCCTGAGTCTGGTATGGAGTAAATGCTCAATAAATGCTAATCAAATCAGTAGTTGAGTAAACTGAACGAAAAGCAAATCTGTGATGAGCTCCATAGTAGAGAAAATAATCGCTGACATTTATGGAGTGCTTAGTATGTGTTAAGTGTGTTGCCAAACCTTTACATGTATCCTCTTACCACCAGTGTTCCAGTGAGCTAGGGACTAACACTGTCCTCGTTTTACAGCTGAGGAAATTAAAGAAGAGACAAATTAAGTAAGTTGTCCGAAGTCCCACCCTATTTACCGGGGACAAGCCCTGCTATTCAAACCCCAGTGACTCTGACCCCAGAAGCTGGACTACCAACCTTGACATCCATGGTTCGCACACTGGCAGGGGTCAGAATCATCTGGAGGGATTGCTGCCCACCTCTCCCACACCCCCCCAGCCCAGATCTGGGAACCTGCATTTCTAACAGGTTCCCAATCTATGCTGATGTTAGGGTCCCGCGGCCCCTTTGAGACCTCTTTGCTCTACTCTACCTCAGACACGAGTGTTATATGAACATAGCTGGCTTCTGTCTTTCTGTCATCAGCTGGAGTAAGGAGGGCTTTTCAAACTTAGGGGACAGTTTAAAGCACGCTTGGTCAATTTAACTTGTTTTTCTTGATCTTCTACCTTTTTCCTTCAGCATTCTCTATTTGGGAAGCTGGCAGCTTTAATGCAAGAAGATAGTTTTATTTTGCTTGCCCTGATTGAAAATACTCTTGCCTTATATGTTCTTTCAAGATGCTCCACAGACAGAGGTTATCTGACAGGAAAGGTCGTGAAGATTTGGCCAAGTCTTTGGGAACTCAGTATAATAGAAATGTTTTTTTTTATTAATTAATTTTATTTATTTACTTATGATTTTATTTATTTGTTAGAGAAAGAGAGCAAGCAGGGGGAGCGGCAGAGGGAGAGGGAGAAGCAGGCTCCCTGCTCAGCAGGGAGCCCGATGCAGGACTCGATCCCAAGACCCCAGGATCATGACCTGAGCCGAAGGCAGATACTGGACCCGCTGAG